TTTGGTAACAGAAATCATTATTAAAATTACGAGCCTAATTTATTACTATATCTGAAATTTTTCTTATGATACTTAACAAAGAATTTAAATCCACATCCATCTGCATTAATGGTACCATCAAGGATCCTATCCTACAAATATTCCAAGGCTATTCTTCCAAGAAGATATATATTTAGCAGACCAAATTCAAATAATTTAAAATTATATGACTAAATTATTAAAATTTATATTTTAAACATTTTTTTATACATAGAATATAAAGTATCTAATAAAGTTCCCTTACTTATCATTTGTTTTTCTTAAGACACAATATAATTGTTTTTAGTTTCTATTCTATTCTTAAAATATCTAATAAGGTAGATATATTTAAATCATTGCTTAAATTTATGTTTATCTTAATATGAGACTTTACTTGCCCTTTTAATATTTCGAATCATACAAGGTGATAAACTGAATCATCAGGATTTTTATTATAAATATTCATATTGTTTGGCTTAAACATCTAAATATAAGTTAATTTTCAAAGAATTCTAGCTAAAAATTTACATTATGATATTAATAAAAAAGTAAAATATAACTTAGAAATCCAGAATATTAGGCATCCTCTCCAATATTTTTCTTAAATAATAAATGTAAAGTTCTCTCAATTTTAAAGTTGTGATCCTGAATCTTAAAAATAGAGGTATTTCTTTTTTTTTAATATAAAGTAAATGTTTAATCTTCAGATTCTCAATAATATATATATTATAAAAAATATGTTATATTATTAAAGAAATACAATATGAATTTAATATTTTAATCAGTTGTGCTAATTGGATCATATTGATTTAATAGATATATCTTACGATAAATTATGTATTGCAAATAAAAAATTATTTTTCCTTATATTATATTAGCCAGTTTATTTTATCAATAAAAAAAATATAGATTAAAACATTAGACTTCAGATAAATTTAGCTTAATCTTACCTTTTTATTTTTTGAAGAATTTCATAACTTAATATTATGAGATTATTAATCTTATGATGAAAATCAATAATTGTTTATTATAAATTAATAAATAGAAATAATATTCATGAATTACAAAAAGGATTTATAGATATTATTTATATTTAAATATATATAGTTACAATATGTATCTAATATCATTTAAATTAAAAAAGATTATATAGATATATTTATTGTCCTTTAAATAGAATGGTTTTGGTCAGCTTCTGACGAATGTTGGTATTTTCATTTTTATTTTGTTTATCTGCAAAATGATAAAAACTTATGTTTATGTATCGTTCAACTATTAATCTAATTAATTTTTGATAATGGCTAGATGTTTCTTCTTGATCTAGCATGTGATCAACCAGATTATCAAAAATATTTGTTTCTATCACTTTTGAAATCACAAAAGATATTATTCGTTTAAATATACAAAACTTTTTAATTATGTTCAAATGTACGGAAACCATTTTCAGCATATTGGCATAATCTAGATACATCTCTGGAAGGAATTATTAATCCCTGATTGTTTTTAATTTTAATTAAATTATAGCTCTCTTGATCTTTACAATTTTTAACAATCATTGCAGAAATACATATATAACACTTTACCTTATATATAAGTTTACGTGTTATATATCCTGATATATAAGTTGCGATGTTATCAACGAATGGCGATAATTTTTGGATATCTGGAACATCTATAAAAGAAAAATCTACAGCTTGTATATTGTCATCATCATTATCATTATCTTGATAATCTCCACAAAAAAAGATTTGTATTATCGAGTGGAATACAATTACCTGTGCATAAGGCTCCCATCTTTGCTATCATAACGCCTCTTATAGCTGATCGTAATTGATAGGCAGAAGGGTTATTATTAAAACCTCATCTGCTTCGTAAACAGCTAAAGAAGAGCTCTAGATGATCTTGAGATGTTTTGTAGGTTAAAAGATATCTAAAATATGAAAAGCAATAAATATACAATATATATATAATGCTAAATAAAATACTTGAGTTTGGGGTTAGGTCCTAATAATAATTCTCTCCCAATTCCCAAAATGCTTTTCATTGACAAGATTAAGCCTATAATGCAGACTTTTTTTTTTGATCTATAAACGTATTTTCCACTTTCAAACTTTAAGGATTTTAAAGTTGTAATGCACATCTCAAAAAAATTTTCATAATAAGAAAGTGAATCTGTAATTAGTTGTTTTTTAAACCCTTTAGCAACTATGTTCCGTGTATTTAAAAAGTCAAACATTCTATAAAAATATTATTTAAAATATTAATATATTTTAATACTGATCAATCATTTGAATAAAGTCAACTGTGCTCTCACAATTTTCAAACCCATCAATCTTTAGCTCTTGTGCCAAAAGAATATTTTTTGCCACTGAGCTACTAAAAACTTGTACAGCAAGTTTAACCTTTAAGAAAAAATATAAGTATTGTAGTATTTTTAATTGTACTTTCATTTTTTGTTTGTGATAGTCAATATGAGATTTATTAATTTTATTGGCAGCACGAAGTCCTTCTTTATCTTGTAAATTGTGAAGATTAGCTATATATTTCCAATTTAATATCTATTAATTTATAAAAATATATATTTTAATAGTAATTTAATTACAGATCCATTATTATAAATTAAAATTTTTTTATCACCGAGAAGATTTCTCAACAACTTAATCATGTGGCATACGTCCAACATAATGTAGACTTTTTCATCAAAATTTAATGGGTGAGTAAAATAGGGTATACATAGATCAGGATCTATAGATGCACCAAGTAGTTGGTACATTTTTATATTAGCCGCCAAACCATCACATACTATAACTTTACAGGAAGTGCCTGTATCATGTAATAAATGAAGAGCATTAGTGACTATATTAGCAAGCAAATCTCCAGTAGTATTTGATATTAAGAAGTATCCTATGCGAATTCTCCATGTTCCATTAAGACATTTTGCCATAAGAAAAAGAGCCTGTTTGGCTTTAGGAAGAGAATCAGATGGTTTGATTTCATTGCCCAAATCAACATATCCATGGTACTCCTTTTTGTCCCATTGTACAATATGACGTATGGACATTTCATCAAGGCTTAATGTGGTGAATAATTTTACTTTCGAATCAGATTGAAATCTTTTAATTCTATCAAAAAAAGCATCGAGAAAACCTAAAATCAAATTATTAATATTTTAATTTATAAAATATAAACCTGGCCTTATTTTAATTTGTTGGCTCCAAGTTCTCAATGTAGATTCTGATGGTAGGCAAAATTGATCCCTTAAGTATTTATATGCTTTTGGAGAATAAAAATGAACAGTGGAGGCAAACTGTTTCATTTCTTGGGAAAATTTTATTCTCCGTGGATTTTTTATGCCTCCACTGTGTAATTGGGTTTTGATAAAAGCTAAAGGGATGCCTGTAAAAAATTTTTCCAATTGATCCTCCCCTTCATCACATATTAAATTTTTATTCTTCAATTGTTTAATAATTGATTTTAAATCGATAATCTTATTTCTTATAGTTTCCCTCTTATAAGAGGCGCTCATTTTTTTTCTTAATTTTAAAATATATTTATCTTGATATTTGATCTTTCTTGATAAGAATGATAAATTGGCTGTATATATATGATCATTGTGATAATTGGCTATTGTTTGTGGAGCATATTTTCTCTTAATTAAAATATAGACAAATAAAAAATCTCACAAGAATTTTAATAAATAGGGCTTACATGGCTAGCAGGTTTCTCCAAATCTACATCTTCAAGAATATTAATAGTGTCAATTGTTTTTGAAACATTCTTATAAAAATATGTTTTATAATATAAATATTGTAATAAATATTAAAATATAGACAAATAATAAATCTCACAAGAATTATAATAAATAGGGCTTACATGGCTAACAGGTTTCTATAAATCTACATCTTCAAGAATATAGTGTCAATTGTTTTTGAAACATTCTTATAAAAATATGTTTTATAATATAAATATTGTAATAAATATTAAAATATAGACAAATAATAAATCTCACAAGAATTAATTATATGGCATTGGCTCAAATATCTTAAGCTTACTGCTTAATTTAAATACTTTTATAAATATCAAATTGTAGCAGTTTATTATCAATTAAGCTATATTACAGTAAAAGTATATTTATTTTATGTTTAAATCTTATATTGCAGCTCTTTATTGCTCAATTTACAAGCTTTTATGAATATTACAATTAAACCATATTAGTATATTTATTTTATGTTTAAATATCTTATATTGCAGCTCTTTATTGCTCAATTTACAAGCTTTTATGAATATTACAATTAAACCTTATTGCATTAAAAAAAAAGGAAGAGTAACCTTACCTTTTAATTCAATAATCCATAAATCTTATACTTATTTTATTATATTGCAGCTCTTTATTGCTCAATTTACAAGCTTTTATAAATATCATAGCAGCTCTTTATTATCAATTAGGCTAAATAACTGTAAAAGTATATTTACTATATTTTTAAAAATCTTGTTATATTGCAGCTCTTTATTACTCAATTTACAAGCTTTTATGAATATTACAATTAAACCATATTGCAGTAAAAAAAAGGAAGAGTAACCTTACTTTATAATTCAATAATCCATAAATCTTATACTTAGCTTATTATATTGCAGCTATTTATTACTCAGTTTACAAGCTTTTATGAATACAGTAAAAAAAGAAGCTTTACTTTAGAATTCAAAAATAAAAGGTATATTTTATTCAAAAATGGCTATAATTCCACCAAATTTCCGTTTACATAAATATTATAATGAATCAACTACTTATTATGAATTCTCAAAAGCATCATGCAAAGGGAAAGGCATACTCAAATATTATGTATTTAGTATATCTAAAGAGTGTACTGGTAGATAAAATATTTTTAAATATATATAAATTAAATATATTAAAGATCCAAATTGCTACCATCAAAAATTCAAATCAATATCAACACAAAGTTTATGATGAATAGAAATATAAAAAAAATTATTTTATTTAGCTGAAGACAATTTAATTGTCCAATTTAATCAGACAGATGGAAGAATTTATGTTACAAATGAATGTCAAAGTAAATTTTTATCTATATTAACATTCATTATCTTAAAACAAAGCTGGTGATCAAGATTATAACCATCTACCTAACAGCCTTACAAAAGTCTAAGTACCATAATTATTTATATATTTATAACTATCTTAATACAAAGCTGGTGATCATGATTCTACCTAACAGCCTTACAACAAGTCTAAGTACTATAATTATTTATATATTTATAACTATCTTAAAACAAAGCTGGTGATCATGATTATAACTATCTACCTAACAGCCTTACAACAAGTCTAAGTACCATAATTATTTATTGTTGAGTTATTCTAATTATTATTTTTTTGTAATCTAATTTTTTATTATTTTTTGTAATAACTTTATTATATGTACGGCGTAACCTTATTTTTATAACTTTCGGCGTAACCTTACTTTTTATATTTTATAATATTTTTACTTTTTTGTTTTTCGTTTGTATTCTAATTTAGATTTATAAATGTATATAAACGATGTATGAAATGAAAAAGAAAGTAATAATAAAGTTAAATATAAATAAACACTTTTTTTACTTTTATGCACATTATCATGTTATTTTGCATGGTGCTCCGGGTCCATTATAGGAAAAAAATTCTCACCTAATGGATAAAAAATGTTTTTCTTTTTTTTAAAAAAAATAATAATAAAATTTTTTTTTCTCCCTATATATAGAAGAAGATTGAAAAGTAAATTCATTTTTTTACATTATGTTCTCGTTCAAGATCATTAATATTCCCCACCATATTTCAATCTATGACATCCTTTTCGACCTAACTTTCAATTGTGACGTTAATTTTTCTAGAATAAATGGTACGGAGGACGTGTTGTTTGAATTCATGAATTTAAGAGACATGATTAGTTGTTTTGAATTACTTAATGGGAAACAATATATTTATAGTGATAATGATTTCATTGAATTAATCTGTATATTTATCAAAACATGAATAGTTATACTTAAATTTGAATTGATAAAATAATAAATGTGATAATTGCTTATATATGTGTCTTATTAATTAAACATGGAAATAAAACAAGAGTTTTTACAGGAGATCCCTAAGTTAGTGGGTCCTCTTACCGAAATTTATTTAGACAGAATATTAAATTATTTTTCGACTAGTACATTATCGGACTCTATTAAAATAAATACTTTGCTTAATAATTTATCAGACGAAGTTTTTGACGACATTAAGGCAATTTGTTCTGATACCGATATTTTAGATCTTAAAATTGTGATTAAAAAGTTAACCTATCTTTTACCAGCGCTAGATTTATATACTTTAATTAATAAATTTAATCTTCTTCAACAAAACTCATCAGAGAGTTTTATGCTGTGGTACATTAGAGTATCGAAACTTCATAAAAAATGTAAATTTTTGGACGATAGTAGATTAAAAGAAAAACTACGCACTTCTACTTTAAATGATAAGATTAAATACAAATTCTCCAAAAACTTTGACTTGACGTTAAATCAGATGGTTGAATTAGGGGTGAAACTGGACTCTAGTAATATTAAGTCTGAGGATAATGATATAAGTTATATAAATAATGATAAAAAGTCCGATAAAAATAAAAAATTTTGCAGTAGAAATGATAATAATTTTAGAAATAATTATGATAATAGATATAGAAATGGGAATTACAATAATAATTTTAGATACAATTATGGTAATAATAATTCGCGATACCACGATAATTATAACAATTATAACTACAACAATTATCGCTATAATAATAATAATCAATCGAATTATGGTAGAAATAATACATGGTATGATAATAATCAAAGAAAACAAATCCAATACGGTGACGGAAATCGTAACAATTACCAATCTTATTATAACAATTCAAATAATTATAGAGGTAATAATAATTATCAGAGAAAGCAAATACAATATAACAACAACTCAAATAATTATAGAGGTAATGATAATAATCAGAGAAAGCAAATACAATATAACAACAACTCAAATAATTATAGAGGTGGCGACGAAAATAATAGAAAGCAAATACAATGCAACAATGATTACAACATGAATATTGAAGAAATTATTGAAGAGAAAGTTGACTCTACAAAGAACAAAGATGATAATTTTAATGTCAACAATTTATCTGGTGACGTGATTAATGACAAAGATAACGCATTTATGACTACTTTAAAAGTGAACGATATTGTTACTTGTATGCAGATTGACACTGGTTCCAAACACACTATTATACCTCATGGTCTTGCTAAAAAACTTGGTATTAGAGATCTTAAGAAATCCGATCTACAACTCACCGCTTATGACGGGAATTTAATCAAAATCATCGGCACCACCCAAGTTAAAGTGATTTATGAAGGTATCTCAAAATATTTACAAGCGGTAATCGTCGAATCAAGTAAAAATGCCTTGTTGGGACGTACGTGGATCAATGCTTTCATAAATAAATTTATAGCAAATATTGACACTAATTATGAAGATGAAATAAAAAAATTGATTAAAGAGTGTGAATCGAAATTAACTAATGGGCCAATCAACAAAGCAAGTGTCAAGTTACATTTAAGAAGTGATGCCCAACCTAAAATTATACCGCCTAGACGTACCCCTTATTCAAAAATTGATCTTGTTAGTAATGAACTTAAAAAATGGATACATGATAAAATAATTGAGCCGGTGAATGATGTCCAGTGGGCAAGTCCTGTTACCGCTGTCTACAAAGATGATGGGAGCATTAGGCTTTGAGCTGATTTTAAGGACACTGTAAACCCAGCTCTAGAAGATTTTAGATACCCTCTACCACGAATCAATGATCTAATTGCTAAACTTTCAGAAGGAAAGAAATTTACGAAGATTGACTTTAAAAATGCTTTCTTACAGATACCAATTGATAAAAATTGCAGAAATATTTTAACCATATCTACGCACAAGGGATATTACCAATTTACTAGACTTCCTTTTGGGCTTAAGACCTCATCTGCAATTTTTCAACAGATTATAGATCAAATCTTCGGTGATATGGATGACGTCATATTTTATATTGATGATTTACTTATAACTGGAAAAAACGATGAAGCCCACCTTAACAACATAAAAGTGTTTGATAGAATATCATCGTTTGGGCTAATACCTAACTTCAATAAAAGTGTGTTCTTTGAAAACAAAGTGAGGTTCCTGGGTCATGATATTGACGCTAAGGGGATTCATGCTAATCATGACAAAATTGAAGCAATAATTAATATGCCAGAACCAAAATCAGCTGCTGAATTATCAACATTTCTGGGAATGGCTGGCTACTATAGAAAATTTTTGAACAATTTTGCAGAAATTGCCGATCCTCTTTATAAGATTGTCAACAAAGAAAAATGGGCTTGGAACCTTGAACACTCTAAAAGTTTTAATGACATTAAGAAGTTAATCAGTCTTCCACCTGCTTTGACATATTTTAATTCTTAATTACCTATAGGGATAGCCACTGACGCATCAAAATGTGGTTTAGGAGTTGTACTATTTCATATTGAAAAAGATGGTAAAGAAAAACCTATAGCTTTCGCGTCGAGAACTTTATTAAAATCTGAATTGAACTATACCAATATTGAGCGTGAGGCTCTCGCTATAATGTTCGCTATAAAGAGATTCCAGGAATATTTAATAGGCACAAAATTTACTATTATTACTGACCATAAGCCTCTAGTTCACATCTTTACCAATAGTCTTAAGGATAATAGCACCATGTCGTTAAGACTCCAAAAGTGGAATATTACATTAGGAGGATATGATTTTAATATAAAGTATAAAGCCGGTAAATATAATGTTGTTCCTGATTGTCTCTCGAGATTACCACAAGAATGTCGTGATGAAACTATTGAAAATGTAACCATAATAAATGAATATGAGGATTTACCTATTAACTTTGATCAAATTCGTGATGAAACTTTGAAAGATATAGAATTAAAACAAGTCATAAGTGATATTAATTACAAAAGGCCTATTGTGAATAATATTTATAAAAACATTGAATTGGAATTAAGTATAATGATTGTCTTTACAAAAGCAACAAAATCATAATTCCGTCTTCTATGAGAAAAAATTTACTACAGTCATTACATGAAGGTCACTTGGGGGCAGGAAAAATCAAATCCTTAGCCAAAGAGTACATGTGGTGGCCTGGTATAAATAATGATATAGTTATGGAAGTGAAAAGTTGTGACGATTGTAACATATATCATGATAATCCTATAAAGATACAAAAACCATGGGTTTTGGCAACCAAACCGTTTGAAGGATACACATAGATTATGAGGGTCCGTTTTTCACAAAAAATTGGTAGATAATAGTCGATGCCTACAGCAAATTTCCAATTATTGTTCCTGTTAAAAATATTACGACTGATGTTACTTTAAAAGAAATCTTTAAAACTATTTCGCTATATGGGATACCTGAAACCATAGTTACTGATAACGGCACTAACTTTACGAGTAACGATTTTGAAAAATTTTGCAACAATTTTGGTATTAAACATGTGCTTACATCTGCTTATCATCAGCAATTCAATGGACAGGTTGAACGCATGGTTAGAACGTTCAAAACACATATGAAAAGGAATATTAAAATTGACCCAGATATTGCACTTAGCAAATTTTTATTTAATTACAGAAATACGCTTAATGATACTACAGGTGTTACACCATCTCAGAGAATGTTTAATCGAGATATTAGAATTAAATGGGGCTTATTAAAACCGATGGAGGAGAAGGAGAATAAAATAAACATTACTTTACCACGAAATAGAACTTTTAACGTAGGAGATTTTGTTTGGTATAAAGTACAAGGTGATGATAAATGGTGTAAAGGTATAATCACACATAAAGAAAGTGATATGATGTTCCAAATTAAGACTGAGAAAGGTATTTTGAGGAGACATTTAGATCAAATAAGAATTAGAAACTGTTTTAACACAATTATTAACTATGACTCTAAGGATTCTTTTAAGGAGGGAAGTGTGGACAAAAATATAAAAATTATTGATAATAACGAAATAACACCTATTTCTAGACCTGTGCGAATAAAAAAAAACCTGTTTATTTAAAAGACTATGTAACTTAAAATATAAAATAAATATTAAATTGCATAAAGTAAATTAAATATTAAAACGCTTATATTAAAACGCTGAAAATATTATATAACAATCTTATTGATTTATCATTCTTCATTTATTCTTATATCCAATATGATGAACTATTATTTCTCATTATTCGCAACTTATTTATGATAATAATAACAACTGAGTACTATCAAACAAGCTATGATTAATGGAGACAAATTACGATAAGGATATCAAGTTTGCGATTTAAACAAGCCAACGTGCAAAATCGATTGAAACAAACCAACGATTGGGACAAGCCAACGTTATGATGATTTGTGATACAAATTGATTACCAAAACGATAAACCACTTGGACAACAAACTCTCTATTACTTCTCCGATGAAATTATCAGAAGAGGGAGAATGTTGAGTTATTCTAATTATTATTTTTTTGTAATCTAATTTTTTATTATTTTTTGTAATAACTTTATTATATGTACGGCGTAACCTTATTTTTATAACTTTCGGCGTAACCTTACTTTTTATATTTTATAATATTTTTACTTTTTTGTTTTTCGTTTGTATTCTAATTTAGATTTATAAAAATGTATATAAACGATGTATGAAATGAAAAAGAAAGTAATAATAAAGTTAAATATAAATAAACACGTTTTTTACTTTTATGCACATTATCATGTTATTTTGCATTTATATATTTATAACTATCTTAATACAAAGCTGGTGATCATGATTATAACCCTAACAGCCTTACAACAAGTCTAAGTACCATAATTATTTATATATTTATAACTATCTTAAAACAAAGCTGGTGATCATGATTATAACTATCTACCTAACAGCCTTACATCAAGTTTAAGTACCATAATTATTTATATATTTATAACTATCTTAAAACAAAGCTGGTGATCATGATTATAACTATCTACCTAACAGCCTTACAACAAGTCTAAGTACCATAATTATTTATATATTTATAACTATCTTAAAACAAAGCTGGTGATCATGATTATAACTATCTACCTAACAGCCTTACAACAAGTCTAAGTACCATAATTATTTATATATTTATAACTATCTAACAAAGTTGATCAAAATGAAACCCATGTTTTAAGTAATGAAAATGAAAACCATGTTATGCATAGTAATGAAAATGAAACCCATTTATGTAAGATAAAATTTTACATACTAATGATTATAATAAAAATTAAAGCAGCTATTTATGAACATGAAGTTATTAATCTTACAACAAATTCAAGTATTATAATATATTATTTAGATATTTATATTCATTATTTTTAAACAAAGCTAATTATCAAGAAATTCAAATATTATTTTTTTAAAAAAAGTCCCCCTATAAATTTATTACATCTAAATTTAATAATAATTTAATCTATTCAAATAAATATTTATATCTTCGCAATAGAGAATTTTTTTATAAATGTCGTTTACAAAGTTGTAAGGGAAGGGGTATATTAGGTACTCATTTTACGATGACAAAGCAACATAATAATGAATGATGAAGAGTATTATGAACTTTTACTTACGTTAAATGAATTAAAAAATCAAACAAAATTAAATAAATATTTAAGTTTATATAAAATATATAAAAAGGTTATGCGCGAAAGGAAATTAGATTCCTTTGCGATGCGACATCCTAAAACCTTACCAACATTTTTGTCGGTAAAAACAATTATGGCACGCGTTATTCAATCGACGCGGCCATCTTTACCTCGCACAAATGCTGATATAGCACTGCTTGGCGAACATAAAGTCACCATAACTAATAATAATTTTTTAATTTGTAATGATAATAATAAAATATTTATTTTTTCTACTCATATTCTTTTATCTCGCCTTTATTTGGCAGATAAAATATATCTAGATGACACGTTTAATGCCGCCCCTAAACTATTTAAACAATTTTACACTATAAATTTTATTATAAACAATACATTAATTATCTGTGCTTATATTCATTTACCAGATAAATATAAAAATACATATATTCGAATGTTTTATTTATTAAAAAATTATTGTTTATCATTAGGTTTAATTTTTTCGCCACCAAGTGCAACAATAGATTTTGAAATTCGCGTATTTTTAGCCCTCAAGGAAATTTTTCCGAGAATTATTGTAAAGGTTGCTATTTCCATTTCTGTCAATGCATCGTAAGACGCATTCAGGAAATCGCCTGACCCAACTGCACAGGCGAAATCCTAATATTTATAAATTTTTCCGTATTATAATGGCCATCCCATTTTTATTGGAAAGGGATGTGCCATCTATAATGATTGAGTTGAGTCGAAGCTCAATCTTTTCAATTAAGTTCTATTTTTGATTTTTTAAATTATTTTGAAAATACTTGGATTAACAGTAATGCCAAGTTCAAATATGAAATGTGGAACACATTTGATGTTAGAAGGTGAGGACGAATAACCACGTTGAAGGATCTCATCGTGCTTTAAAGGAATACGTTCCATATCCTCACCCCAATATTTATTTATTTATTGATATCATAAAAAATATAGAGCAAGATATGAATCTTATGTTGATGCAGTTAGATGATGGGCGAAAAGTTACCGATAGAAGAAGAAAATATATCGTATTAGATGATAAAATAAGAGAGATAATGATCCTTTATTGTGGAAATTTGTATAGTCCTATTGAATATTTGGAAAAAATATCCAGATATTTATATTCCAAAAAATTTATTGGTATTTAGCCCTTTTTTAAATATTAATATACTGGTGAATTTTTGCCCATCATCTAACTAAATTTGTTTTATATTTTTTTTGATATCAGTAAAAAAATATCGTTACTGTTGATCCAAGTTATTTTATTGTAGTTGGGTTTGGCTGAAATGGTATATGCCAATTTCAAAATCTATATTATGTTCCTCAACTATTGTTATATCATCATTTGTGGAGAGCTTTATATGGTAAAAGTACATAATACTAATCATAATGTTAATGACATTGGAATGCTTGAATAGTACACTAAACCCTTCCTTTGTATATTTTTTTTATCAGTTTGTATAACTTATTATTGTCGATATATTTTTTGTACAATTTATTTCAATTCAAAATTATCATTTTTCATATTGTACGTTTATATTATTGTTTCGCGCACTATTATAAAATTTGTTTTTTTATTCCTGATATATATATATGTAATTAAATTCTTATAAAATACATTTTTAATATTGTCTACACAGGCATGAATAAATAAAATTATATTCGCGACTTTTCAGAAAAATTTCATAATCAATAATAATTTAATGTTTAATGTTGTCAAATTATGCACTCGAAATAAAAAGAAATATTCATTTGTAGCCATAATTATATTATATAAATATAAATATTTACAATAAAAATTTTAATAAAGAAGTTCTTAGTAAGAAAAAAATTTAAAGATCCCATATTAGAAATAACAAAAAAAATTTGAGTAATTGAAGGAATAATAAGTATAAATACCCACTATAAAAATTTTATTTATAGAGTTCCAATAAAAAAAAAATTAATCCCATTAATTATTAGAAATCTCAAGAAAAATTTGAGTAAATAAAATATTTGAAGGAATTATAAGTATAAATACCCCACTATAAAAATTTTATTTATAGAGTTCTTATAAAAAAAAAATTAACGATCCCATTAATTATTAGAAATCTCAAGAAAAATTTGAGTAAATAAGATATTTGAAGGAATAATAAGTATAAATACCCACTATAAAAATTTTATTTATAGAGTTCCAATAAAAAAAGATTAACAATCCCATTAATTATTAGAAATCTCAAGAAAAATTTGAGTAAATAAGATATTTGAAGGAATAATAAGAGTAAATACCCAATATAAAAATTTTATTTATAGAGTTCCAATAAAAAAAAAATTAACGATCCCATTAATTATTAGAAATCTCAAGAAAAATTTGAGTAAATAAGATTTTGAAGGAATAATAAGTATAAATACCCCACTATAAAAATTTTATCTATAGAGTTCCAATAAAAAAAGATTAGAAATAACAAAAAATTAAAATATATGAGTAAATGTGATATTTATAGAAATAATAAATATCTATTACCCCTTAACCCTAAAATTTATTTTTATTTTCTACCCATCTACAAGTCTCAAGAAATTATATTCAGAAAACGACGCAAGTAAATGGCTACTAGTTTTACCATTCTTGGTTATTTTTTTAGAATAAATATTTCAAAAAAATTAATCTATAGTTCCATTATTAAATAGATAAGTTCTCTAATGCAGAAGAAAATTGTTTTAATATCATCTAATATAAAATATTTTAAAAAATATATATAATATTGAATAAATTCTATTTATTATTTCATTATAAATTAATTATATTAAATATATATAAATAATATTAAAATATGCAATATATATATTACAAGTATATTAAATAAATTATATTAATTATGTAAATAATGTTAATTATTATATTATAATAAAATCTTATAATCTTACAATTTAATACATATATTAATTTACATAATTTTCTTTATATCTAATTTAATATTAAATATATTAAAATTATATTAAACTATGTATTTATTAATATATAAATTTTTTATATTATTATATTATTAATATATATAACTAATTAATATTAGAATTTTATATTTTTTAATATTTATATTAATAAATTTTTATTTATATTAAATTAATTTAATATTAAATAATTTACTTAAATAGTAAAATCTGTCTATGTAAAATTTAAATTTTTTAAAATTTTTAAAATATCTCGCTTCAAACTTATAGGGGCCATTGACAGCTATTTTAGCTTATTTGCTTTTTTAATATTTTTTAATAATAGTAATTGCGGACTTTAACCTTATATGTTTTCCAAGGATGGTTTCTAATTTAAGGTTAACTCCGATCAATGACATATAATAAAGATTTGCCTAACTATAAAGTCATTTGATCGTAAATTTGGTCCATTTTTTTCTGATTGGTTTATTTAATCGCGGTAAATTAAAATCATTTAAAAACATTATGCTTAATACTGTATCTAATATTTAAAGACTATTTGATAAAAGAAGAAATGAATCATTGCAAAGTATGATATATTATATTAAAATTAATTTGATTTTTAAAAAAAATATTTTTTAGACAACCCAATCAAATATATCAAATCTAATAAACGTAAGGATATATTCTGCTATAACCTATTTTAATATAACATACATAGAATAGCTGAGCCTACAGTATATTACCGCTGCAGAAGGAGAGATTGTAAAGGCAGAGGTAAGTTAGTAGGTAGTTTATTCATATAACAGCTAAAGGCATATTTAATACTAAACCTATCTAGATTACTTGCATTAATTTAGGTAAAGATTCTCAATGTATATCTTGTAGAGATCAGAATACTAATATACCCAGTTTCCTTATTAAATCTAAAAGAACAAAAGAATAATATTGTTTTCCATCTTTTATGCGAAAATCAATTGATAAAATGTCCATAAATGTCAATTATATATCAACAGATACAACACGCCCCCCTTTCTTGAGAAATCAAACTGGGGTAAAAATAATACATTTTACGCATATATATAAAATCAAAGTAAATGTCTACATAAATTCTAATAAATCATCAAAAAGAAAGATAAAAATTCTTATCATTTATTTTCATTAAATTTTCTTCTTTTTATTTAAGGAAGTTTTATATTTCTCTTTTTTGACCATACATGATTTTCATTGAACTGTCGCTACACATTTTTTCTTGAACATACGTAATAGTTGTCATTGCACTGCAATGACATATAATAATACCTAGACTGACAATTCATTCATTAAAATGCATTTTAAGCATGTATCAATTGAAATCAGCTGGAGACGCCATTAACACCATGATGAGTACATCGATGATAATTTGTCTTAGAACCATTTCTTAATATAAGTAAATATTTTACCCATGAGTTCATTATTTTTATTATCATTTTAATTTACTACTGATACAATTTTATTAATCAAACATTATATTTTATCAAAAGCTTTTATTTTTATTTTATAATTTATAAAATTTACATTATAGCAATATCAGCAATTTTTATTCAAGTTTATTAGGTATCTTATTTACTTTATGCAATCATATATATATCTAAACTTACGATTCCATATAAGAATATCAACTGTCACAATTTTGTGGGTTCCATATAAATTATAGGCTAGGGTACCTTTTCAGGGGCAATTATTTTTGTTATTTTTTAATGTTATTTTTTGTTATTTTTTTATGCGATTTTTTGTTATTTTTTTATGCGATTTTTTTTATGTAATTTTTTTATGAAAACTATTGTTTTTATGTTATTTTTTTATGATTGGTTCATTTTCTTATTGGTTAATTTTTTATTTAAGATATTTTTAAATTAATATATCTTTTTTTATTTAAGATATTTTAAAATAATTTTTTCTAAATTTAAAATTCGTACAATTATTTAAAGGAAGTGATGGGGGCAAATAAGGGGGAAGGCTAGGGGTAAGGGGTAAAATTATTAGATTATGTACAATGCGGGTAGGTTTGGGGTTAAATTTTTGATAGATGAAACTTCGCTATTTAAAATTTATTTGGTTGATTCTTTCTATACAAACTTAATATGATTTCTTCTAAACAAACTTAATACGATTCCTTCTATACAAACTTAATATGATTCCCTCTATACAAACTTAATATGATTCCTTCTATACAAACTTAATATGATTCCTTCTATATAAACTTAATATGATACCTTCTATACAAACTTAATATGATTCCTTCTATACAAACTTAATATGAATAATTTTTTCTAAAATTTGTATAAAGAATTTAATTTTTTTTAGTGATAACACTATAATTAAAGGAAGCAGTGGCGTAGCTACGGTGGGGGTTTTCGGGTTTGGACCCCCCAGAGCAATTAATTTTTTTTTTAG